CGAAATGGCATGCGCTTGGAGAGTGCAACCAAGATTTGGAGGAAACACGAGAATAAATCAAGTTTCAAGGGGGCGGGAAGGGATGTGTTACATGCTTTCATGTGAATCGTACTCACACACACACACACACACACACACACACACACACACACACCGTTGTGTCACATGAACAGTTAGATGACAATTGTAGACGACTTTCAGATAGGGGGACAGGGAGGGGAGAGAGACAACATCCATGCTCGGAACATCTTACCACTTTGTCAGACGTCTCTAATTCCGACTTCAATTGTTCAACTTCCAATTCCAAGTCAGAAGTGCGCTTTTTATATTGTAATACCTGATATCCGCGAGTAAAAATAATGCAGCGCAACAGGTATTGAAAAACCAGAAATGATCTCGTGTATGTGCAAGTGAATACTGATTGTTCTCGGGGTTTCGAGATGAGCGGAGCATAAAATTCATGTCAAAAACGTCAAACAGACCGTGGCAAGGCACTCATATACGGGCAAGATGTGAATGCTTAGGCGAACATCCAATGTTCAATCGCTTCCTATCTACATTTTATGAACCAGTTGTACTGGAGTTTAAACGAAGGCCATAAATGCATTTCTCGTCGAAATAACTGCTACTTAAGAAACTTACCAGTTCGCTTGAATTTTCTGTTAAATTCACGAGAAAACACTTAAAATGATGGTCAGGAAACATTAGGCTGTTGAATGCCAATTAAACTTGATATCAGAGGTCCCGATAGAGAACACTGAATAAACTTTATGTACAATTAATGATTTATGAAAACAAATTATGTGCATAACACCGTCATCTTTCACAGATTTCACTCTCATCGATAGTAATTCACTTTGTTTGTGATCCAGCCTGGCTTTTACCATGCGGACGACCATACTTTTGCCATAATTACTTTTGTCACTTTAGAGTACAGTTTGCAAGATCTGGATTTTCCTAATCGATTATTGGATGACTTTATTGTTTACCTTAACTTGTGCTCATCCCAGCCGGTTGCCTAAAACATTTAAACAATATTCAATTACATATATATACTTTGTTTTTAAACAAGTAAACATCTATAGACGTTTTCGTATTTTATCGTGTGTTTGGTTTCCGTAATTGTCACTTTTTTATTTATTTATCCCCCCCCCCGCTCCGCGGTCCATTCACGGTTCACCAGTTTTGCATCATGGTATCGATCCGTAAGTAATCAGTGCAAGGTTTTTCGTCCCGCTTTTTCATGATTTAACAATGTGAGAATCATACCAACAACAAGATATTTGATTGCGACGCGGAGAGGGAAGTGACCACGTTCAGCCGATATTTTTTATCGTGATAGTGAACTTTTTCAATATACTTCTGCCAGTGATTGCAACTATTTTGACTGCAATGTGTGATCTTTAAGTTCCAACTCAATCATGGAGTTGAATGTTGTCCAGCTCCGCTTTAGAATCTCAACCACAGCTGCTGACTAATCTTACTGTAAAAAGAGCCACCATGCTAACTTCTTTACCAAGATGGTCCTTATTCCTTTGTTTTTTACACTTCATTCCTCTTACTTCGTGGTACTCACTGCAAACTGCAAATGATATGAAAAACCTATTTTTAACCACCTTGAAAGTCAGTTTGGGCGGATAGTTCAAATGTTTCTCCTTAAATAGAATACCAGAAACGAAACTGACCGTAAAACCATGCAGTTCCAGCTGCTACGTATACACCATTCTACTAGATATCCTCTCGGATTTTCTATTTCACCATGTTATTCATAATGTATACCTTTACTTCGTCCTCTTTTAGTCATTGAACATATGTGCGATGTGTTCGTGATTCAAAGCCTGGACGGGACGGTGGATATGCACTACTGATGAGCTCTAATAAAAGTGAAACTCGAGTCCGGTGCTTCCGAGTGTATGGTTGACTGGCTGAACTGAAAATTGTGTGTGAAGGTAAAGTCCGAAGAATGGCCAGTTCAAAGCAATCTGTAGCTGTGTGGTTTAATATAATGATTTACGGATCTGGTAAAGCCATATTTATATATATTTTAGATGTCTGATGTAGCTGATAATCGATGAAAAAAGCAGCCACCTTAAATAAAAAGGAAGCAAAAATCTGGCGTAAGAAAAACAACGAAGTTCACTTGGTATTCAGTAATCAATAATTTATTTTTCGCATGGTTCTATCTCCCCCTGTCCGCATTAAAACAAACAGTTCGTCAGTCGATTGACTCACTTTACTTTGTAATTTCTGTATAAGTTGTGCCTGTTTCTGTTGCCCATCCTGATAGGCTGCCAGCTTTCGACGATAGCTGGCTGTGTCCTCGTCCGCACGAGATCGGACATCCGCCGCACTACTACTGTCTTTCGAGTCTGGTCGGGTGATCGGATAACGAGACATGAATGACGTACCGGCAACCCCGATCGGATCCAGACCTTCGCCGATTTTAGTACTACAAATTGCCTCCAACTGGGCCGGTTCCATACCGGCCAGATGAAAAAATCGATCCAGACTGATTTCATCACTCGGACCGGCCTGGGATTGTAGAGTATCCTGACAGGTCAAGATTAAGAAGGGATTTGTGTTTTGTTTAATTGCGCATTAAACATGACATTTCGAAAATTAATAACCAATTCTCTGAGGGTGCGTAACACATATAGAAAGCAAACTTCAACAAGTCTTTCAACACAGACTCGTATGAATGAATAGGTGATAATAAAGAAATCACATATCTGAATTAAAGCATAGACTGAACTGAACAACCCGCTTCAAATTCAGCTTCTACAACAGAAGATCACCAAATGATAACCAACAGAAAAACTTCAAGCTCAGTTGGTCACTTAGAAAGGGTGAAGGCAAACCGAAACTAAATATTTTTCTTGTGAGTTAACCCATATTTTTTCCGATGAAATGTCGTGCGTTTGGCGAAATATGGGAGTTTTCCTCGGTGTCATCACATCATATATTCCTACATCCACATATATCTATTATGACACATTTGGAAGAAAATTTAATTCTATGACAGAATCTTGTAATTAATGATATACTTGTTTCACTAATGATAAGCGTGTGTACTTTGACACGATTTTTGTCATGAATACAAACTAATACATAATACTGAGCACATTTGATTAAAAAGATGGCTTTGTCCAAGGCTATTGCTATGTGTTATACCTTGTCAGGGTAATATATAAGGTTCAAAAGGCCACTCAAGACTCAGTGCATAAGGTCATCTTTCCCTGTGCTCAAAGTTTCCCTTTTTTTAATCAGCCTATTCTCTTGTTTTTGCTGTTTAACACATACCCCTATCGAACCGGAAGGAAGAAATACGCATTGCAAACACCAGATTTTACGGTTGTCGGCATTTTTCTATGCCCACGGTTGAATTGTTACGCGGTCCAAATGAGAAATCTCGTTGGTTGATTGGCTTCTTCTACACGCTTCGTTCGCAATTTTCCAAAAGGAAGGTGTTCGGCACAGCGATTAACGATTTCTTATTAACCGGTAGACAAAACCAAAAAAGGGTGATTCACACTCCATCAGGCCTAACTTGAACAGATCCCCTTGTCTATGTGGTCTATTTGGTTGAACATGAACGGCCGCGTTGTTCGCACGCTATCAAACGGGTTAATTACACTGGAATTCATTTGAAACTCAACAACAAGAAAAAATATTAAACGAGATCATTGATATCTGAAGAATCTAAGTAGAACCTGGTTCCCAGTTATCTGTCCAGGCAATAACTTCGCACAGCCACACACTACTCCAATGTGGCTGAAAAAGCGGTTTAAGAATTGCTCCACTGTCCCGGGGAGTTGCAAATCATCAACTGGGTTAATGAAAGGGCAAAACAACTTCAAAGCGGAAGTCACAGTATTATTATGTTGATCGTTAAATTCTTGAGGCAGAAACATTGTTATTAACGTTATTGTTGTTTTCTGGCGTTCACACTCCACAGATTCCCAAACCCCCGGAAGTTATAGTTTCCCGCGTACTGTTCGGAACCAGTTAGGTGTTTGCACTGAGCTCGATCCCTTTGCACTGAAACGGGGAATGACTATTTTTAATTAGAAAATCAGGCGAAAGTCCTTTCGTAAATGCAAAGATTTTTGTGAGTAATTAAACCAGAAGTGGCTTATTAAAATAAAACCCATGGTCGTCATGGTAATCAGGCATTCTTTGAGTTCATTTGCTCAATCGTATGGAGAAATGAAAATGATTTGGAATAGTTTGTATCTTCAGTAACTATGCACACTTTAAAATGCAAATAGGATGCAACCCATCCATACGCAGATGAAATCGAATAAACAGTTTGTTACCCGGGTAAATGCTTTCCATGCACAGAAAGGAAAACTTTACTATTAATTTAATTAAAAGTGTGCCCAATATTATTTGGGTCACTTTGCCCTGGATCCTAAAGGGTACCAACCACCCCCCCCCTAGTTTTGATATGATCACATTCAGTTCTTTAAAATCATTTCTCAGGAAGTTATCAGTATTCTTACGAAGGGGTATCATTATTATTTCACCAGAACAACATTCAGATTATGCAATGAGCATATTGCTCAGTCCATGCTATTCCACATTGCGTGCTTTGACTACACGGTTGGGGAAAACGGAACAAAGTTGTTTGCACAGGGTTTGTTTGATGCGCTCCATGATGATCATTACATACGCAATTTATGAGCCTTTTATAGTCAAATATCATGGAACATGCGCATGCACGCCACCTACATCATTGGACCGGTAACGCGTTCTATCAGTTGAGCTACGAGACCACACTGACAGTACTGTTTTTTCACAATTCAAATGTAAACGAGTTGTAATGTTAATCTCACAGCGATATCGGTAGAGAATCGTAATCGCCGAAGTTTTGGTTATCGTGAGTGACCTTTCTCAAGGTAGGTTTTACAATTGTAATCGGGTTGTCGTCCATAGTTCACGAAACAAAAAAAATAAGAAACAAGTTACCCGATATTAGAAGTTCATTCGATGGATTCCACGGAAAATTTGATGTGGCAGTCAGCTTACTTCCTAGCTGGTGGTTTTAAAATCACCGCCGTCGATGTGGCCTCATTGCTCAGATAGTAATAGAATGCGTGCCAGGAAAATCGTAGGCGGTGTCCACACGTGAGTTCGAATCCCACCACGGTGGCTGATGTTTTCATTAGACGGTTTTCTTACGTAGCCTGCCAAGTAACTAGCTCTAATACGTCAAGCATCAGCATTCTATTTAATTTCACTCTGTGCACCCCATTCGCTAAGACGGTGGTAGCCCGGTGGTAAAGTCACCAAATTATCACCCTGGTGGACGTGTTTTAAAATCCCACCCCACTACCACCACCAACAACAACACCAACGCCACCGCCTCTCCTTTCCCATTATGTGTGTTGTATGGCAGCCCTTTGATTGACTGCTTCCCCTTTTGTTAAAAATTGTATCTTTCTACGTGGAATCGAAGGAAGTAAAAATTTTAAAAAAATGGTTTAGATGGTCAATGTTTGGACTGGCCTATTCGGTTTTTCACAGGCACCGAGCACTGTTGATGATGTTCGGTATGGGTTTCATTCCTTGGAGATTGTTAATTTCACACGATTTGAACGCATTTACATGCGATGGAAATGTTTGTGGTAACCAACAAAGGGCACTGGACAGCTGATTTGCCCTGTTTAGGACCCGTCAGCAGTGAGTACTTTTAGTGTCCCTGTCAGAACTCGAACTGCGAACATTCGGGTTGGGATTTCAAACCCTTAGCCCTGAGCTACACAGTCGATGATCATCACCGTATAGTTGCTCAGGGGTAAGGGTTTGAAGTCCCAACCCGAATGTTCGCGGTTCGAGTCCTGAAAGGTACACAAAAGTACGCACTGTTGACGAGTCTCAAACAGAACAAAACAGCTGTTCAGTACTCTTTTTCGGTTAGCAGAAACATTTCAACCGCGTAAAAAGTAGCTCTCCGAAAAGATTTTGAATGAACAAACAATTACGGCGATCAGTTCAATCCGGTTTCTGTGTCGACAGAATTAAAAAATCACCAAACGCAGACTCCAGTCCAACCGGAGGCATAATTACCAAACATTGAATTGCTTAATTGCTCATGCATTTGCGCATAACTATAGAGTAGCGCCAACAGGATATGCACCCCGGCATGTGTCATCGGAAGGACATATCGCAATGTTTGGTGTCAATGGATTTTTGTGTATGCAGCCACGCATCAGCCACAAGGAATGACCTTCTAACATGAAGCTCTTCACAGTGTAGATAAGCAACGTGTCTACATTTCACCGACGCCCTGGCAAGTGTCACGCTGACTGAAAATAAGTACGGCTTTTCGGAGCGCTCCACCCTTCAGTTTGACAGTTTATTCGGTATGGCTGGTCGTTCTCAACTGGTCGTTTTTCTCTAATCTGCCCTGTATCATGTCCAAGCTAGGAATAAAAATGGACTGAGGAAAAGGCACATTGGGCCAGATATATTAGACCCCAAGCGACAGTTACAATAATCGTAATGTGAACTTTATTTGTATTTTTGGTGGCTATATCTCACTCCGGTCGGAGCGAATTTCTAGACTGGGGGTGTGGTCAGTTCATTTTGTGTGTGTTCTTCTTGTTGGCTGTTAAGTGCCAACAGCGTTAATACTAAAAAAATCATACACTGAAAGACCCACCTAATATATCTTCCAAACGCGTGGTAATACGGAACTGCACGAATTTAAACAACCCCGGATATACGACGAATTTCTCCTTTGAAATAAAATCAAATTCTTCACTAATCACATGAAATAAGTAGTCAGGTTTTGATTGTTTCCAATCGAGTCAAAACCCCCCGGAGGCTGGTACTGAAATGAGCGAGGTCTGTGACCCGCAAAAAGCTCGCAAACATGAGTTGTACGATATTGTGTAAATGGAAAATCAAAAACGGTCCGATCAGCTTCCCTGTGGCCGAGTGAGTAGCGTGCTTACATTCTGCCCAGGAGGTCCCGGGTTCGATCCCCAGTTGGTTCGCTGGATTCGCACTACTGATCAGACCCAACCACGTCGAGACAGTTATCCAGTGATTCTTAGCTTTTCAGTTCACGCTTCACTTGACATATACACGACGAATTTCACCTTTGAAACCTCGGATACGTAAAACATCCTTTTCTCCTTATTTATTTCATCGACACTAGAAAACATGTGGGCAGAATTGGAAGTGATCATCAATTGCTCGCTTGCTATCATTCAGCCGTAAACGTACATTTCTAAGATCATGTTAAACGATGAGACAGTAGCAGTTAAAATGAGTCATTTGAACCGGCGATAATTATTAATCGTTTGAAAACGTAACTGTATGTTCACGAAAAAAAAACATCTCTGACGCAATTACTATTCCCGTGGTATTGATAACATCACGCTTGATACCTCCCTATCATGCTGTATGACATGTTCTTCTCTCTCTCTCTCTCTCCCTTCCTCCACCACCATCATCCTATCGAATTTGGTCTCCCAACTTGACCTTGATCCTGAACTGAACCTAAACCACTCACCACTTTTAGCTACCATCTTGTTCGAATG